ATCAAAAGGCAGGCCAACAGGGGTGACACTGYTGTGGGAGTTTACTACAGGCCTCCTGAGCAGGAAGAGGAAGTGGATGAAACCTTCTACAGGYGGCTGCAAGAAGCCTCCTGATCACAGGCCCTGGTCCTCCTGGGGGACTTCAACCACCCTCATGTCTGCTGGGAAAACCACACAGCCAGGAACAGAAAGTCCAGGAGGTTCCTGCAGAACAYTGCAGATAACTTCTTGATGCAGCTGGTTGATGAGCCAACAAGGGGAGGGGTGCTGCTAGACCTTTTACTAACAGAGATAGTCTAGTGAGAAATGTGAGGGTGGGGGGCAGCCTTTGCTGCAGTGAGTCTGAGATGGTGAAATTCATGATCTTACATGGAGGAAGCTGTGCAAGAAGTAGGATGGCAACCCTGGCCTTCGAGAGAGCCAACTTGGACCTCTTCAGGGGGCTCCTTGGAACAGTTTCCTGGGCTAGGGTCCTAGAAGGGAAGGGCCTCCAGGGGAGGTACCACATCCTCCAAGCTCAGGGCTGGTGCATTCTTACAAAAAAGAAGTCGAGTAAGGAGGGCAGGAGACCTGCATGGATGGGCAAGGAGCTATTGGGCAAACTTAATGAGAAAAAGAGCACGTACAGCATGTGGAAGAAGGGCAGTCCACATGGAAAGAATATAGGCACATTGTCAGAGAATGCAGGGATGCAACAAGGAAGGCCARGGCCCATTTGGAATTAGAGTTAGCAGGAGATGTCAGGGACAACAGGAAGGATTTCTATAAATACGTCAGCAGCAAGAGGAAGACTAGAAGAGGTCCAGGGAAAAGGTTGGTCTGTTGCTGAATAGGGAGGTGTCTTGGTGACAGAATRCAGAGAAGTCAGAGTTACTAAATACCTTCTTTGCTTCTGTCTTTACTGCTAAGGCTAGTCCCATGAACTACAGAGCCCAGATAAGATAAACAGGAGAGAGGAAGACCTTCCACTGGTCAAGGAGGATTGGGTCAGGGATTACTTTGGCAAACTGACCACCCATAAATCTATGGGCCTGGATGGGATGTACCCAAGAATGCTGAGGGAACTGGTGGGGTTGTTGCTCAGCTGCTCTCCATCTTTGAGAGGTCCTGGAGTGAGGGAGATGCCGGAGGAGTGGAAGAAAGCTAATGTCACTCCAATCTACAAAAAAAAAAAAAAGGTGAGGAGGAGGTTGGAAACTACAGGCTGGTCAGCCTCATCTCCATTCCTGGAAAGGTGATGGAGCAGCCCATCCTAGAGAACATCTCTAGGCATGTGAAGAAGGAGGTGATCAGCAGTAGTCAGCATGGATTCACCAAGGGGAAGTCATGTTTGATGAACCTGATAGCCTTCCACAATAGAATAACTGGCTGGATGGATGATTGGAAAGCCATCAATGTTGTCTGTCTTGACTTCAGCAAGGTTTTTGACACTGTCTCCCATAATATCCTCATAGGAAAGCCATGGATGCACAGATTGGATGAGTGGACAGTGAGGTGGACTGAGAAGTGTCTGGATGGCAGAGCTCAGAGGATGGTGATAAATGGGGCCGAGTCCAGTTGGAGGCCTGTGGCCAGTGGTGTCCCTCAAGGGTCAGTAGTGCGCCCAGTGCTGTTCAACTTGTTCATCAATGACTTGGACAGGGGCACAGAGCCACTCTGATCAAGATCGTGGATGATACCAAACTGGGTGGAGTGGCTCCAGAAGGCTGTGCTGCCATTCAGAGGGAGGCTGGAGAGTTGGGTAGAGAGGAACCCTCTGAGATTCAACAAGGACAAGTGCAGGGTCCTGCACCTGAGGAGGAATAACCCCAGGCACCAGTACAGATTAAGGGTTGATCTGCTGGAGAGCAGCTCCATGGAGAGGGACCTGAGAGTCCTGGTGGACACCAAGTTAACCATGAGTCAGCAGTGTGCCCTTGTGGCCAAGAAGGCCAATGGGATCCTGRCCTGCATCAGGAGGAGTGTTGCCAGCAGGTCAAGGGAGGTGATTCTGCCCCTCTACTCAGCTCTGGTGAGGCTGTACCTGGAGTACTGTGTGCAGTTCTGGGCTCCCCAGTAYAAGAGGGACATGGAGCTTCTCAAGAGGGTCCAGAGGAGGGCAARCAAAATGATTAAGGGATTGGAGCATCTATTGCCCAAGGAAAGACCGAGTGAGTTGGGCCTSTTTTCTCTGGAGAAGATTGAGAGGGGATCTGATTAATATGTGTAAGTACTTGAAGAGTGAGTGTAGGGAGGAAGGGACCAAACTCTTCTCAGTAGTGGCTGGTGACAGGACAAGGGGTAATGGGTATAAGCTGAAACACAGGCAGTTCCATCTCCATGTGAGGAGGAACTTCTTTCCTGTGAGGGTGACAGAGCCCTGGCACAGGCTGCCCAGGGAGGCTGTGGAGTCTCCTTCTCTGCAGGTCTCCAAACCCKCCTGGATGCCGCCCCGTGCTCTGGGTGTCCCTGCTGGAGCAGGAGGATTGGACTAGATGATCTCTAGAGGTCCCTTCCCACCTTAACCATTCTGTAAAAATTACCAATTACCTTGTAAAGGATGTTGAAACTTCCTATGCATCCCTTTTGCATTCAGCTTGAGCTGTCACATTCCAGTCTTTACTGCATTGGCAATCATTTGCAAAATCCCCTTTAAGGGCTACTTTCAGGTAGAAATACAAGGCAACTCTGCATAGCATATGAGTGTTAATATGAAAACCCTTCAAAATGCCAAAATACCCAACAATATCCAACTTGTTACCTGTTGAAGCATTCAGCAACTTGCCACAAACTTTCTCAGAGCAAATCAGGCTGAGTCTGAACAGTGGTCTTCTCAACTTCTGCTTGCATTATGTCTCCTCAGCAAGTCACTACTAACACAGATATTTGGTGGGACTTAAAATCCTGGTAGGATRATACCCACAGTAAGATCTACCTCTTTCACAAGTAGTTTTAAATATTATTTGTGGTAATTCTACATGTGATTAAATGCTTGTTGACAAATATATAATTATATCTATGCTGTGTTCTCTGAATTTTATTGAAATAGTATACTGTACTTACTAAGACTTTCAATAGTCTTAAAATTTAACTTGTGATATCTTTTGAAAGAGCAAAAAGTGTTTACTTACTCAAATAACAAAGTTGCCTTCTCAAGTGAAGGCATAAGAGTGGAGTGGTGCCTCAGCAGCTGCTAACCTGTTACAAATACTCTAAAAATACATGTCATATCAGTTAAGCATCAGTATTCCATCCATGGATGGAAGGGACTGCCTGTAAGACTTTAATATTGTTTTCTTCTTCCAGTTCCTCACATGAACAGTGAAGACATGACAGAAATGGCAGAGCTTCCCTTTGTCAAAGCTGACATCAGAGAGGTATTTGAAAGTAAGTTTCATGTTATTCCAGGATGAACTAGTATGCTAGATCTTGCCTTTCATCAAGGATCACCTACTACTTGAGTAATGACTTGACATATACCAGATTAAATGCACTTTTCTAAAAGACAATCTTTCGCTAGAGTTTAAAGCCAAATACAATGAGTAACAGCTGATTTATTAGTTCAATCACATTACCTTCTCTCTAGAGGTGGATCCTTCTATTGCCATAAGCATTTGATTTATTGCATTTAAACTTCAGTAATCTCTTCTAAAACAYTGGACTTGAAGCGGTCAACAATTTTTAACATAAATGCAAGAAATAGAAATATCTTTTAAATGAAAATCTATACAAAATATATGTAGGTATTCAGGTATCTTCTCTTAAACTAGTCTTATCTATGGAATAACTTTCTCTCTGGGATCTTGAAAGAAAGTGTTATAGTCTTCATAGGAATTTGAATTGAGTTTAATCTCCTTATTTTAACTGGGAACATAAAAGTAYATTTTTTAAATATGCACACATAAAGATGTATTACTTCAGATGGATTGACCACAACATTAACTTTTTTTGACTATGCCTCTTCAGTTTCCAAGTTTTCATTAATGTTTTTKGGGAAATTCCCCCCCGCCCCTTGCAACCTTTGAACAAATTCTTTTGTTGCCTTGGAGAGCTGGTTTATGGAAAACATTATCTGCCTATGCCCCTATAGCTTTAGGGAAAGGCCRTTTTTGCCATGGAAGGGCTTGAAGTTAAGCAAAGCTATATGGTTCTGAAGTATTTTGCCCACAAAAGAGAGACTCAAGTTTAGTCTGTAAGACTAATTTGTTTAGGATGTCTTCTCTGTGAAGTGGCACTTGTGGCAGCTGATGCCTGAGTCTTGTGTCCCAAGAGCTGTCTGTGACCAATGTATAACCTTTGTTCTTCCCCCTTTGGGTTTCTAAGGCATTTGCCACCAAAACAAGGAGCAAAAATCTCTTTGGATTTCAGTGTCTCTGCTTGTATTTAGACATTGTGAATGAAAAGCTATGCAGATTCCCTGTAGAAGAGGGAAATGAGATAGGATAGGTGGGAGATCTTAAGATCAAGAAGGTTACAGGAGAAGCTTTACTCAAGTATACTGTTTACACTGCTTGTTTTTAAATCTACCAAGTGTGCTGGTCTGATTAGATTGGATCATCTGTCTCTTACAGGAGACTAAAGCTGCATGGGCAAACTCGATTCTGAAAGCATTCAATGCCTAAGGCCTTTGGTTTATGGTTATTCTATTTTGGTTTGTGGTAGATAACTTAGTGTTGCACATGCAGTTCTTTGACAAAGCCCATATTTCTATGCTGCTGTGCCTAATGAAGGGGTATATTCCTGTCTTAAAGTATATAAAATCCAAACAAAGGGCAGAAGTTGAGGGTGAGGTAGTGACTCTGCAGAGCCACCCAATACTGGAGGTGCTAGTTGATTGTAGAGGTAGGTTTTGGTGGAATGAGCTAGTTGACTTAGTTGGGGCTGCTTGTAATGAGTCAAATGGCATAACTGAAGCCAAAATAAACTTTTGTAGGTGGTTCTTTATTTTGCTAGCTGGTGGCTTAGTTTTCTTTATTTTTCAGTTCCTCTTAATGCCTTCAATCTCCAAAGGAAGAAAAGGAGGATTTGGATGAAGCCCCAGTTTGGGAGGAAAAAACTTTGGTGTCGTAGGATGAAGGTGATAAAGCAGAAATTGTGCAGGAATAAGCATCAAGAGATGAACCTAAAGCAGGCTCAGGTGGATGGAAACGCAGAGGGATCTCAACAAGTGTGCTTGCCTGTGCAGCTGGGGCAAGGAGGAGATACCTTCCCAGAGGAACAGCCCCAGGCTCAGGCCTACAGCTGTCAGCCCTGTGGGGACAATATGTATATGCAGCTGCAGAGGCAGACAGGGCAAAGAGAAGGCGTGGCACCAAATATACAACCACAGCATGTGGACCATGGTAGGGAAGCCACAGAGGTGACTGTGCAGGTGCGGCCCCAGAAGCAGAGCCGCAGATGGGAGGCTCCAGAGGTGACTGTACAGGTGCGGCCTCAGAAGCAGAGTCATGGGTGGGAGGCTCCAGAGGTGACTGTGCAGCTGCAGTTAGAGCAGCAGAGCTGGGGTGCAGTGATCCCACAGGTAACCGTGCAGGTGCAGCCGCAGGGACAAACAACTACAGGCCTCAAGGTTACTGTGCTCCTGCAATTGGGCCATGACCAGGAAGATGTAACCCATGTCCAGGAGCAGGGTGAAGAAATACTAGGGAATGGAGAGAAGCAGATCCYAACACAAAATCAAGGAGAATCAGTGGCAAGATCTGAAGGTGAGAGGGAATCTGCTGTGGTGGGGCTGGTGTCACAAGAAGTTCAATGCCAAGAGCAGAAACAGGTAGAAGCAGTAATAAAACACCAAGAGTACCATGAAGAGGAAACAGCAGAAATAAGACAACTTCAGGAGTCTTTCATCCAAAAATCAACCCCTCTGTCATCTATGGTGATAGAGGGGCAGCTGCAGCACAAGAGCCTGGAGCAAGAACTGAAAGTAGACTTGCCTCTTGAAAAAGAAGGTCAAAGAGCTGCAGAAAACAGGAAGGAGCAAGATGATGCCCAAGTCCCAGAAGGGGCAGAAGGTCTGCAAGACAAGCAGGAAGATCTGGGGCAAGAAATGCCCAAGAAACGCCTACGAGATRTACCAAATTACTTTGTTTCTATTCCAATAACAGATGATCAGGTATTTTGAAGTAGTTAGTCTACTAAAAACAGTAATCTTAAAATAATGGTTAGCTGCTTAAGTTTTTCTTTAAGCTTTTCTTTAAAAAGAGGTGGGGAGGAAGGGARGAAAAGCCTGGAGTGGTAAAATATTTCCTGCATGAGGAGGTTAAAACTCTCACCTCAAGGCTTTCATTGCCCTTCCCGGAAGGGGGAATCAGAGTGGTTGTGTGCCTCTTCAGGAGGCACATCTTGTACAGCTATTTTTTTCAAGGAAGCAGTGGTCTTTGCCACATTGCACTGTCTACACCTACAGTACCTTAAAATCATATGTGGTGTAATAGTAGTTTTTATTTTTTGACACAAGTTCAGCGGTCACTGTGGAAGATGAGAATTTTCTTCCATTCTCTAGAAAAGGGGCGTTAATCTATTATCTCTTGTACACAAACAAATATCCTGACTTCTCAAATTTTTAATTCTAAGAAAGCATGTTTGGAGTTTGTATACTGATACTTTATTCAGGCATGGCAAGTTCTGATTCTTATGTTAGAAGTGTTGAAAAGGCAAGAAGTTTTTATCTGGAGATACTGCTAAGCCAAAGCAGCATTCAAAAGAAGTCCAAATATAAAAAGTTCCTTCTAGAGTTTTCATGAAGAACCTACTGTATTCCAGCTACCACAGTACATATTCATGTGATCTGTCAAAGTGACCTTGCAGGGCTTGGATACCCTAGGAACTGTGTTATGGTCCATGAAAGTAAATTTTAAAGATTATATTAAAAACTGAACACATGCATTTGGCCCTTTGCCCTTTAACCCATTGTGTATGAATTCAAGTCTTGTGCAGTGTCTGCATAGCTTTCACCCTCTTGAACATATGAGGGAACATGATGGCTCACCTTGATTTACTTATTCCTATTCTACTTGCATGGATCTTGGACCTCACTTGAAATCTTCTGGAAGGACTTTAGTGTGCTTCACTTCACAAAAGCTATGCCTCACATTGCTTCACCTGTTTTGCCTGTTTCATAGAATCCTCAAAGATCCGCTCAGATTGGGAATTTGTTGTTTATACTTACTGAAACGGAGTGCCAGGCCATTTTTGACTCCTGCTATGGAACAACCAGCTTTTTGGAAGGATGAAGCTGTATCATCATGAATTTCTCAGCATTAATCAAAGGATCTTAATTCTAGTAGGAAGGCATTTCAATGGGATTGTAGTCCAAACCTCCCCTCAAAGCAGTAGCCTGTAAGCACAGGACAGTTGCTGCTGGATGCTCCTGACAGCTGTCCCACTTCCAAGCTGACCTTGTTCTKCACCCTCTCCTTGTAGTCCAAGTGCTCCAGTCCTAGCTGTGGAGGTCTTTTTGAATTCTCCTAGTTCATTGATGTCTCTGAGGTTAGTGCTCAAAACAGGACACTCCTGGAGATCGTGTCTAACAAGAGCTGAGTTCTGGGGACTCTTGGCCACACTCCTGTAGATGTAGCTCAGGGCACCATGTAACCTTCTGTGCTGCCAGGCCATGCTGCTGGCTCATGCTCAGCTTGCTGTCCACAACCCGCAGGGCCTTTGTAGCAGACCRTCTCCCTAGTTAGCCACTTTGCAACCTGTCTTATTGTCAGAGACTTTATTCCCATGTGCAGGACTTGGAGCCTGTTCTTGCTGAATTTCATAAGGCTTTTGTTAACCCACTTCAACATGCCTAGGTAGGACTGTCTGCTTGGAGTGTTTTGCCTGGTCCCCCAGTTTATCTGCAAACCTGACAAATGTGCTTTGCCACCTCCTGAATCACTGATAAACAGAGAAGGTCCTGGCATAGCGTTTTGATCTGTTCCAGTTGTTACTACTACCACATACTGCACATACCACTTTGTTTCTTTTGTGTGATTATGATCATTGATATGTAAGTAATGCCAGGAATGGGACTGTGAGCAGTAAAATACCCAGAGCCCTCTCCCGTTTTGTACCAGTGCTCTGTTCAACTCCTATTGCTGAACAGCAGCACTGCTAGATGGACTTGCATGGCGGACCTTGATCAAGGGGTATTAGATGACCTTGCTCTTAAAGGCACTGTGTTAGAAAGCAAGTAAGGGGCATTGGGCTGTGAAGAAAAGAGACTATTCTATCCAACAAAACTGAGATCCAGCATAAATTATGTTGAATTATTTATATTTACACATTTTGAGATTTCTTACAGAGCAAATATAAAAGGCAAAAAATGTGCATGGTAACTTGTATGAGTGTTGTGAAAATGTACTGCCTGGCCACCAACTGATGTTAGTTTGTGGTGCTTTTTCTGCTGAATCTCACAGATGATATTATTACATTATGTAACTTCTGTTTTTTCTATCTTAATTTCTCGTGTAGTATTCAGCATCACTGTATTTGCACTACTGAAATACATGAAGTTGGATGACTATCTCTTTTCAGTATGAAGAGCATCTGCACTGTAATAGCTTACTTTGGCAAGCTTTTGAGCTTTTGTTTTTACCTTAGTTAAGTGTAAAAGCTCTTATGTGTTAGTAGGAGACATGAAAGGTCCTTTCCTCTTGGTAGGCAATTATTTGTGCTGGCTGTCTTGAGTAGAGTAATCTCTGAAGGTCATCTTAAGGATGGCCCCATACAACTTCCAGGGATTTGTACACATGACTGGYTTCTGAGAGGTGAGCAAAAGTGCAGAGCACATCAGGAAGATAAATGCCAGGAAGGGAAAATGACTGTAAGCTGGAAGACAATGTTGGCAGAGGAACAAATGGGTATGAAGTGGGTGAAAAATAAATCTAGGCTGGAAACTAGAAAGTTTCCTGCCAACTGAGGAATGAGATCATGGAAGAGCTTGAGGGTACATGAATGTCTGACTTCTGCCTTTTCTTTTTCTTAATGGGATCCAAGTGTCCTAATATATGGCTGGTAACCACATTCTGTATGATTTTTATGAATGTCCTTCCTTGAGTATGTTCTTCCAGATTTTACTGCTTTCACACAAGCTCTGTTAATTAGCTTGGGCTGGTTGCTCTGCCTGAGGTATTCCAAACTTACGAACCTTAAGTGCTCAAGTCACCTGTAAAGGAGGCAGTGACCTGAGACTGCCCTGCATGAGGCTCTATTGGAAAGGAAAAAGTATTTCCACACCAACCAGCTTGCTAGAATGTGGAGTGTTATTCTGTGGAGCACCTGAATGCTCTGACTGTGAAATTGGGCTGTGCAAATGGTAGGWATGAAGACAGCCCTTGGCGTTGGGGTGAAGGGAGTCATGAGTGAGTGTTAGGCAAGTGCCTTGTGCTAAGGGTTAGGGTGATTTTGTGTGATATTGGGAGGAACTCAGAAGTTATCAAGTGAGATTGCTGTGCTCCCTTATTTTCTGGGATAGAAAGCATGGGACAGTGCTGATGTCTGGTCTGGTATGAAAAGGGCCAAATATAGGTGTCAAATTTCAGAGGCTTTTTGCTCTGAAATGGAGGTTCTTGATTCTACTACATGGGTCTATGACATGATTGCTTGTGATAATGCAAGCATTTCAGTTCCTTACAGATAGGATTTAAAGACACTGTTCTATCTTTTCAGTGAAATCACTTTGCATTAATTCTATTTCCAAGGAAAAGCTCCAGATGATTAGGCCCAGGGCTGTCTCCATTTCACTCCCTTTCAGTGGGCCAGAAAGAAGCCCTTGTAGCCCTGGTGGATGTAGCAGCTATTTTCCTCTGCATCCAGAAGAGCTCCAAGAGACAGGATACTGCTAGGAATGTGCTGAGCAGAGTTTGAAGTAGGAATTTTGTGCTCTCAGACTTGATTGCATATASTTCCTTCTTATCCAACACCCCAGAACTAGCAGTCCCATCAGAGGCAGGGTAAATGGTATTTATAGCAAGCATTACCAAAAAGTTGTGTGTATCTACAAATACACACACACACACGCACAAAAAAAGGTTGATGTGTGGAAACAGTCTGACTCTATCCCATAGGAGAAGATGAGGCAGAAGGTTCTGAAGGCTTGTTTGTGCAGCTTGCTCTCTGTCAGAAGAAGGTGGGGAGAGACACCAAAACCGCTTTGAGAAATCTGTATGAAGAAGGGTCCTTTGGTCTCTTGCAGAATTGTTGTCAATCCTTATCATCACCTTGATGCAAGAATTTTAGCTTGAATGGTCAAAAACTGATGGGTTTGATTCCTGCTTCATGTTTTCATATTCTAAACAAATGTGCTGTAAGTAGCAGACTGTAACAAATAGTGTAGTTCCAGTAAGGGATACTAGATCATAAGACTTCGTGTTAGGTTTTTAGTGAGAAATAGGTCATAGGAACTTGAGAGTAAAAACAATGCCAATACATTGTTTGCATCTTCAGATGGACTATATTAACTGTAAGTGGCTTCATCCTGATACTTATCAGTCATTATATTAGTGTCCAGCAGCACAGGTGGTGAATCCTAGCTGGACTGCACAACGACTGACAAAGTTTTATGCAGAAAGATTGCAAGATTGCCAATATGTTTTTGTCTTGAGCAATGCAAGAATGAATTTGAGCTCTGACACATGTGCACATAGGCCTGTAGGCCAGAGTTTGTGTGGCGATATAATCTGAAAAATCTATGTAAGAATGACTTCCGTTAGATGCTTAGTCCCTGATATGATTGACTTCTTTCCCACCCTCTCCTCATTCCAGTCATTTGTTTCTAAATTTCAACAGACAAGATCTTTGCAGAGAAAGATCTTTTTCTTCCCCCCCCCATGTTTGTAACCTACAGTTTGGGCCAATTCTATGAAGACATACTTAGAAGAGCTAGCAATAGGCCATGCAGTTTTACAAAATATGAACTTGAAAAACATCATGTTTACTCAGTTGTTCTATGTTGTTTGCTGTTGCAGTTTTCTTTTGGGAAGAGACATCAATTTAATCTGTGATCAAACTTGTAATCAGAAAATGGCATAAGATTAATTATGGAAATGCTATTCAATTTCCACAGTCTATTAACAACTGACAACTGCATGAAGATCACATTAATATTTACACAGTGCCATGAGCTTTTTTCCAGTATCCTTGGGTCAGATCAAGAACTAGTTTAAAATTCAGGGAGCTGAATGAGGCCTGTGGGTTTAGCCCCCAGACTCTAAAAAAGAAAATAGGTTGGTCAATCTTGAATAGTGTTCAGTATTTTAATAATAATAATAAAGCCACAGTATTATCTTTATTTGATTCATAACTCAAACTGGAGTTGTTTTGTGAGTGTGTAGCTTCAGAGCYCCTCCATCAATACCTTGGCACTCTGAAATGAAAATGAAATTTTATTTCCCTTATTTACTGCATTGCAGATTCTCGACAGAATTGAAGATGTCCAAGAGCTCATATTCACTAAAGAACCTGACTTGTCGAGAGCCCTCCTTCCTGTGCAAACAATGCACCTTACCATAATAGTAGCTCACCTGGGAACAGAAGARGAAGTGCAAAAGTAAGGATTTTGTAAAATTCTAGATTATTTCTAGTTGGGTAGATGCAATAATTCTTCATATTAGAAATTAACTATTGTAGAGTCTATATAAATCTGTTCTCTTAGACTTTCTGATGAGTTTCTGACTTCTCAAAGAAGACAGTCAAGACTGTCTACTCTATGACATCTCTGCATATCTAAATACAGTGTTTCAGAGGATAATCTTGTGCAGTTGTGGTGGGATGAAGCTATAAAGCTGCATGGCTGTAGTGTTGCTATTGTATTGTTTTCATAAATCAATGCAAAGGATGTTAACTTCCCCAAGCTGCTTTGGGGGGAGTATGGGAAGGGAGGGCAATTGCAGCTTTTTCAGAACAGCCACACTTCCATCAGTTTTAGAAAATGTTAGCTGATAGGATATATTACATTAARAAAACAAAAAAATCATTCCGTTCCCCTACAGGCAGTTCTGTTGCCCATCTTGAGCTGTAGGTTGCCAGTGGGCCYTTTGAGCTGTAATGGAGTTAAAGGATGACTGCAGTTTATAAGGCTAAAGCTGCTAGAAAGAGTATTAAAAAGAGCGAGCACTTAGCAGGCTTCTATAAGCTCTCTCTTACTGCATTCCACTAAAACTTTGCACTTACTGGTGTGAGGGAATGAAGGCAATGACGGAAGGCTCTTGAGGAGCTGAGACTACAAAAAAGGAGGCAGGAACCTGGTGGGAACAGCCCACACATCAGCAAGCAAATAACTGGGCCATGACTCAGCATTGTACAAGTGTGAATCAAGACCTGCAGAATGTCTTGCTGGGAAGAGGTCAAGAAGATTAACTTGAATGGAAAAATATTTTCTGCCCGTACTGAGAGAGAGAGAGAGAGAGAGACATGGCTAAGATGAAATTCTCATGAAAGCTCTATGTGCTTTATTTTAAATTGGCCAGTGGGTGGGTTTGTGTTTTGCTTTTATTTTGGAGTGATTGAGGGAAAACATGTAAGCCCTTTATATGGGCTGATGAGCCAACATGTGTAAGGCACTTTGTACGATAATTCAGTATTAAAAATCCCTGACAGTGCTGCTAACTGGGCAGGCTGTCTTCCAAGAGGACTAGAAGCTAGGAGAGAGCAGCAATCAAAATGGGAATCAATCAGTTGGAGAGGTGAGTGGAGCTAAGTAGTGTTAATGAACTTGAGAGTGGATGTATGTCTGTAATATAAAAATAATGGGCATACCTAATGAAAAGCAGAYCTTCCTTGCCAACCCTTTTTGATCTTTTATCTTCTACCTAGAGAACGCCGCTGAATAATGYGGCAATTCAGTGCCTAGTGCTCTCCACCATCCCATGAAAGGCTGCTTAAAGTGTTGGTCCAAGTATTTCTCAAATCTCMTACTAAAAGCATGCTGAAGCAGCAGTGTCTACCTCTGGTTAGCAGAGTTAGGAAAAGACATTTTGAGACATATATGACAGAAGTCCTGCCAGTGTTTAAGAGCTGTTTGGAAATTAGGAACTAAAACGAATGCCTAAGTAGCTTCTACTTATTAAGGTAGAAGCAGCAATGTAATCTGAAAAGGATTAATTCACTTTCCATCTGTAGTTCTGTTCTCAGCAAAATTATAACCTGAAGAGTCCCCAGGAGTCTCACTAAGCAGTAGCTCCTGTGTTACTGTAGTTAACAAGAAACCTCAGTGTAGGAGTGTGGACTTGTCGTGTTGACAGTGTTCCTGGCTGAAGTGCCTTGTGTATACATGAACACACTTTCCCAAGTGGATTAGCATATGCAGTTTGTGCTATATGGATTGTAATGATTTTGTTCTATCAAACTGTGTGTGTTTGTGTGTGAGATCTTGGGTGGTGAGGCGTTTTGTTTGTTTTTAAATAAAATGAACATGGTCATAACTAGTTCTAGATGTAATGATGAGAAAGTAAGGAATACAGGAACTGTAGAAACTAGGGACTAGTGTCCTGCAATACTTGGTTAGTAATATAAGGCTTTTATTAGGAAGTTTCTGCTCAGGCTCTGAGCTTTAGGACAGACCCTTTTTCTGAGGTACCAGGATAAAGGAGGGCAATTGTAAATCTCTAATGGGTAATAAGTTACTGAAGGTCTTGTTATCTTTGGAAAACCTGTTGTACAGTATTTTTTTAAGCAAAGTGCATATTAGAAAATATTTCTATGGGTAATCTTACTTTTCTGGMGGTATTTCTATGTACAATAAGATGACTATCTGAATTTTATCAAAATAGGATCTCAAGTGGAGACAAATGCTGAAAGTGCTTCTCCTGGAGAGTGAATTTGTCTGGTTTAAGAATAAAACCAGCTGAAAATGACAATGGCAAAGTTTAAAGTTTGACATAATCAGTTATGTTTTTGACTTTGGGCTAGTGATATATCCATATAACCATTTCTAGTATGCTAATAACTTGACTATTCAGTTTATTAGAAGAGCTGAGCTTGAAGCTATAGAAAGACAAAATACTTCAATAGGTTTAAAATACTTTGCATCTTTTAATTGCTTTAAAATCATCAGCATTAGAAGTAGCATGCTTGCTATGTCTTGTAATAGAAGTGCTGCAGAGTGGCTAAAATACGGTATGTCTGATATTAAAAATGCAACATAATATTTCTATATGTAATGGTCAGAATTCCTTAAGAATACAGGGTTTTTGATTTATTTAAAGGGCTATTCTGGCATTGAAGCAGAGCAAGACTAAAGTGGAAGCCATCTTGCAGGGTAAAGACCTTAATATGACATTTCATGGGATTGGACAGTTTAACAATCAAGTGATATATGTGAAAATGGCAGAAGAAGACCAAAATACACTCAGCAAAATTGCAGGTATGTTTCAGACTGGTTTCTTTACCACCTGTGGTAAGTCTGTAGAGGATGTCAACTCGTTTAAACATTGGCCTGAGCTGCTGTGCGTGGCTGTGCTGCTGCCCTCCCTTTCTTGCCCTCTTCACTTATTAAATCTATGTTAATCTAGACTTGGGCAGAGCTGGAACAACCTCTGTGTACTAATTTGTGACAAATTAAATGCACAAACATTTGACTTGTCAAGATTGTGCAGCAAGGCTGCGTTAGCATGCCCTGCAGTCAGGATCTTGCTGTGGTGCAAGTAGATCTTCAAAGCAAAGCCTTAAAATTGAAGTCCTGTTTCTTTGAATAAAATGGAAAACTTGCAAGTATTACTTTCATTTGAATTTACAAGTATTTCCTTTAAACAAGTTTGACTGCAACTGCTATTAACTCCAAGACAGAACGGGACAAATAGAGCACTTGTGGACATGCACATACCTGCCAACATGCCATTGCCAAGGCAATTCTTGGCTTACATGCACACGTTTGTCTCTTGCTATAACTTTTCCAAGCAACTTTTTTCCAAGACCTCAACAAAGATGTTCTAGATCTGACCTGCACACATGTGTCTGAAGGCAGTTCCAGGAGATTTGTTTCTCTTCCCTTCCTCCTACCCTCTTCTGATTTTAGGAACTAGTTCAGCCAGTGATGCAGAACCTAATCTGAGTCCTGGGTCTCAAGTTCCAACAGAGCATATATAATCAGTATAAGCTTTTCTTCCTTGTTGCTTCCATACTAAGCYGGAAAGGATAGTTTAGCTGATGCTTCTCAAAGGCATGCGGTACAAAGGTCTAATTTTTGGAAGATAATGGTTTTAGCATATTTTTTCCATTTTGCAGYTTTTTACTCCTTCCAGTTCTTACTTTGTAATAGAACAATCTTGGTTTCTTCTTGTCCTCCCATATTTTTCTCCTTATGCAGTCAGTGTTTCAAATAGGCATAAGATACTTCTTAATCAGACCAACTTCTCTGCTTCAGTTAGAAAAGACAAACCACTTCACTATCCATTACTTTTTGCTTGACTTTAGCCTTTGTTTACTGTATTGTTTCATCCATAGCAAAAATGATTTAAAATCAAAGCAGTTTTGCTTTTGTTAAAAATACTCTGACAGTGTCCCTACTCATTAGGATTAGAACCTCAAACTTCACCATGTCTAAACTGTTTTTTCTAAAATGTTTGTGTTAAACTTAACACAATTAACTTGACTGGAAGATGACTAAGTAGAAAGGGCACAAGATGCAGGATGATTTCAAGATCATTTCTGGTACATGCTTGCCCAGAGCAAATAATACGTGCTTGAATGATGTTCAGAAAAAAAGTGAATGCTTGAATGTTTTGATGACCTTCCCTTTTGCTCTCCWATCACTTACTTTTGAAGGATGTGGATGAGGAGTTTTTTCCTTTCCCGTGTTGAACTGATKCTTTTCTACTGCTGTGTTACTGAATTTACCCCACTAAATTATGACATGTAAGATCAAAAATCTATCATGTGATGTTAGCATAGGCAGAAGTATTTTATTCTGCAGAATGTGCATTGTGATGGAAGTGTTCTTTGTTTTTTTTTCTGTTTTTAATACAGGAACTACACTAAATCTGTACCATTGCTGTAATGGTGGTGAATTCCTGAAAGTGTTCCCTTTCTGGATAACTATTTACATGGTTCTGAAAACTTGGTGACTAACTTACAATGAGAACTCACTTAATGAGCTGGAAAAGAAAATTGTTCATTATATGCCCTAGAAATATAGTGGCAGTACTTGAGTCACTTGTTTAATACATTATGGTTATTCACTGATTTGCCTGATATACTTCCTTGACCAAGAGACAGACTACCAGCTTTCAAGACATTAATGCTCTCRCCAGTGACTTTGCTAGCAGAGCAATGTAGCTTCTAGTGTTCTCATTTCTGTGTATTTTTGACCATTCCTAGGACTCAGTGTGTTGGGGGTCTAGGCATATATGTATCAAAATCCATTCTTTTTAAAACTTGTGTGAAGAAATGTGTTCCTGTTCTTTCTACCCTTTCTCCTCAGCACAGCAATTAATTGATGTATAATGAACAGTGCTTTCTTCCCCCTTTAAGTTTCCGTCAATTCTGTGAATGTCTTTAGTTGTTTGTGTGGGAGAGGAGTGGATTCTGGAATACTGCCTTTGAGTCAGCATGATGGGCAAATACGTTCTGTGGGGATGAGTAGACTAGCAAAGGTCAAGCTGCTCGTGCCAGCTGCATCTGCCTCATTGTGCCCTTGACTTTAGCTGTTTTGTCAACAACAGTTAATTAAAGCAGGCTGAATTCATAAAGTTTTTGAACATCTGAAGCATTGCTGGGTTTAGGAAATATGAGAGTAGATGGTTGGCATTTTGCTTGTGTTTGTTTCTGTGCTGAAGACTTCAGTTTCAAAGTGGGATTATCCTGTCTCTTTATGTCCAATATATTGTAGTTAACTGGTAAACTTGCTAGGATTATTGTTGAAGGAACCTGGAATACTGATATTTGTCCTTTTATTGTACTCTGTGATGTGATAGGGTCAAGTTGCTTGACCTGCTTAACCTGATATCTTTGTTTCCCCTCCCCAACATAGTGCAAGTGCCTTCTTTTCATAAGACCTGAGTAATAATGGGGTTCTCTTACTGCTACTGACCTAGTCCCTCTTGACAAAACAAATATGCTTAAAATGTCTGGGAATTATCTGAAGATATTCACTAAATAAGATAAGGTCTACAGTGTTTGGGAAAATCAGTGTTGTCCTGACATGGACAARGTGTTAGCACCAGCCTTGTTCCTTAACTGAGTGTGTAAAGAGGTTGCATGGGCTTGATATTTTTTTCATCATCTTTTTGGAGAAACTCTGATCATGGCAGTAAAGCCTACATCAATCACATGTTGCAACTACATTACCAGAGTACTTCCTTCTTGTTTGGATGAATCRGCGCTTGGTGAAAATGGGCACAAACTCCTATCAGATTTGTTGCTCTCTTGTGCTTGCTTCCTCCTGTACGTCCTGAGGATGGTCCTTGTCCAGATGTGTGTAGAGAAGGACTTATACTTTCTTGCTATTGCATGTATGCTCTGTTTATTCTGTTTAGACTTAGTGACATGGGGGCAAGAAGGTTTAAGAAAAATTCTTCCTGATAATGGAGAGTGAGTGTGTGTGTGTGTGTGTGTGTGTGTGTGTTTTTGTGTGGTGGTTTCTTTTTTTCCCTCTCCTCTCCAAAGTTCTAGAGCACTTTAGGAGCAACTTGATGCCTAAACATAATCACAGATACCTGCGAGACACACAAACAGGACACATGGCAGAATTGTATCCTTCTGCCATGGCAGCTAGAGGCTGGGTGGGATACTGCAGGGCATCTAAAATGGCATTAGCTTGTTCAGGCAAATGTATCCTATTTTTATTTATTGTCCAGCTGGAAGACAGAGTAGTTGCCTTGGCAAAGCAACCAGACAGTCCCAGCTGCTGCTCCCTCACAATAAGGGAGATGTTTGAGATGAAACATTTTAATGTATTAATTAGCTAAACTCAAAGCCAGAGAGTTGGCCTTGATACAATGGCATATGACATACTAGTAAACATGTGTAGCTGGACTTCCTGATAGATGGAAACATAAAATGAGAGCAAAGTGATTTTAATTAGTGCAGTTACCAAATACATGAAATGCTGTTTTGAACAAAAACTTCAATACTGTACCTCTTGATCTTAGTGCTGAAGCAGTAACAATGAATGTAAAGAAGTGGGAATTGACAAGTTAGTCTCTTTGGAAGAACCACACATGTTTTTTCAGGCTTCTAGGGCAGGTGTTGCTCTTCAGATTTCTTACCCTCCTTATAAATCCCATACAAAGATCTCTGGCAGTAGGAAAAATGGTTGCGGAAAGAGGTCCTAAGTACTCAAGCCTTCACCGAGGGGGTTTTTTTTTAAGAATCTTTCTTCCTGTTTAAGGTTTTCCTGTTCTGGCACTGCTGTGTTAACTTCCTGTGTTTACCAGGTTTGCAGAGATCTGCTGAATACAAACTTTACTCTGCTAGTCTTATGAGACCCTGCATCACTCGCTGAAAAGTTCCTAAAAAACAAAGATGGATCAATTTGATTTAATTTATACTTGTTGTTATAGTTTGCAATTGAAAGGCCTGAAAATGTTTATTTGGATGTTCCATSTAATCTCTTCCATTAAAGGAGAACGAAACTTTAGTTCTTTAACTGTGTACCTGAAACTTATAAATGGATGCCACCATGAGTGCTCCCTGTCCTATTGTTTAGGGAAGAGTATTATGCTTGTGGGACTTCTCCCTCCAATTAGCTGTAATTCTTGCAGAGTTSTTTGCTCTGCAACTTCTGCCACGCTTTCTACCGCAAGCTCCTTGCTCTTTTTGCTAGCCGGGTCCCCCAGCTGTGACCACTAGTGCTGCGTTCTGCTGCTAGCAGGGCTACTGTGCCCGTGCACGTTCCCAGGCTCTCCCTTGCTAAAGAAGGCCTGTCAACACAGAAGAGTTAGATTGCAAACATAAAGAAATTCTGGTTTAGTTTCAGACTTGAAATGAAAYACAGGCTAAGGTCTTGCTATTCAAGTTTCTTTTTATCTGTTTCTTCATTTATCTGAATATTGTCTGTGATGGTGTGAGCAATAGTGGTCATATGCTGTGTGTTCCAACTGTGCCTTTCCTGTTTGAGAAAGACACGGTAGTATTTTTAACTTTTTTGCAACTCATTTTCCCTCCCACCCTGTTACTTTTTTACCAGAAGCTGTCGAAGAATGCTTTCATGAAATGGATCTTGACATTTCAGGGAGYAAGGATTTCAAACCACATCTTACTTTTCTAAAGCTCTCCAAAGCACCAAGGTTGAAAAGAAGGGTAAGCAACTGCATTTAAAGCTTACTGGGACTTATTCTAGCTGTTATTTTTCTTCCAACACTCTTCTAGATGACGTTAGCATAAAGTAATCTTTATGGTTAATAGAGGGGAAAAAATAATTTTTCATTATCTAACTGAGCTTGTAGATACTGTCTGACAGTTCTGCTTTCCTCATATCTACTTGTAAGAGCTGGAGTCCCTTACTTATACTGTATGTGGCTCTTGGGTAGAATATAAAGTGTTTTGTTTCTGCAGTGGTCAGTAGAACCTGCATGAAAAAACTGTGTTGAGCTGTTTCCACAGGGCAGGATGGCTTCTTAGCAATATCCTCTCTGAGGATAAGATTAATGTAACTTTGGAAGCCAGTTCAGTGGTTTGAGTTATGACATGAATGTGTGATGTCCTTTTCAAACCTTTACTGAAGCATTGTGTGGGATTTAATCATGTACAATTAAAGTAAAAAACAACTCTGATTAGATTGCTCKTTTCTCAGGGGAGTACTGTCCTGCTTGTTTCCAAGAATAGCTCTTGTATTTATGAGGTCAATATATTGCAAACCTGAAACATTAAAGGAACTTGCAAAAAGAAAACAGAAGATGATATAATAGCTGATGACCTTGTATTTGTGTGCACCAAGTATTTCATATTGACTTGATATTTGCATTCCATATACATGGCATGATCAAAATTTGGTGGTACTGGTAATTCTACCCTGGAGGAAATTTTTTATTGGCTATAGAGAATTTCATGAACACAGGCATTGTTAATTAACATTATTATAGACATCTGTAAAAAGATGTTAATGCCTATATTTTGCCTGATGCAAAATAAAAATCCRACATGTTTATAGGAATGACTTTTGATTTTGGAATATTTTCACAATTGCTTACTATTGTGTTTGAACTGGAAAAAAAGTAATTTATTGCATGTTCTCCTTCCTGTAGGTTCTCTAGCAYTGAATATGGCACACTATTGAGAATTGTGCTTAAAGTGTGGAATCAAGTCCTTGACTATTCATGTGTATGTATGTGTAGAGCTTTGAACTTGAGAACATCAGTATTTGTAGGGAGTGACATGAGGGCTTGTGTATCTGAACTGTATTTCTACTCAAACTGTATCAGTTGGTCTCCAACTCCTTATAGAGTTAAACCCCAGCATACATATGGATATTATTGCTCAAAGTCCTGGTGACCTTGGGAACTGTGCGTTTGTTATTATCATTATACTTTGCCCTACAAAAATGTGAGCACTCATTGTGTTTTAGAGGCCAAGTTCCTCAGTTTTTGATGTAGGATAAGGGGCTCTTGTGGGATGTTAGTTTTGATCATGGTCTCCGTCAGATTTTTTTTCCGTATTGCAGCCATAAACAGGAGATAAATTTAACCTTGTCTGTTTTGGACAAAAGGGAACTTGATTCTTGAATCCAGCATACTGCTCACTCCTGTCTGAATCTGTAGGTATCTTGAAGGTGTACCCCCTAAAACCTTATCCTACTTTTTGGGACCATAACTCCAAAGTGGAGCAGGGCTGGATGTTAAGTTAGATGTTAGAAGAAYGTGTGGAAAGCTTGTGGATGTTGTATGTGCACATACAGTCTTGCTGAACCTTTAGGGTTCAACCCCAAACGTGGGATTTAACCTTGAAGATCAAACTGGAAGATTAGTGTGCATGAATTCCTATCTAACGTGCCCACTTGAAAATATTGAGAATTTGCTTTGTCTCTTCAGAAATCAAAATGTAATGGGAAAGAAAGAACGAAAAGAGACTACCACTATAATAGCTTGTTAATAAAGGCTGCAGGAGAGAAATCAACCTTCCTGAATGCTACAAGATGCCAAAGTATGAATAAGACAAAATATTGTTTTAGTTATTATGATGCCATCTACTGGCTATAATTACTTTTTTTATACCATAAATAACTTGTTCACTGTAGTACAGATGTAATTTAAGTACTTTATGCAATTTAAGCATTTCTTATATGAAGATGGAAAAATAATTACTAATGTTGCTTATTTAAAATATTCTTAAGGGAAAATATATATTAATAAGAAATGTATGTGGTACTCGTGATGCTGTTGCAGGTCTTGTGTTTTGGAGGAGGAAGGAAGGGGGAATCATCTGATCCTCTTCAAAGCTTTTATGAGTGTTATCATGGGTCTCAGGAAACTGTATCTCTGTATGTCTGAAGATCCCAGGAGGTAGGGGGCTTGGGTTGCCTGCCCTTTAGCTTGAATAGCTACCAAAGGAGCAGTGTGTGCTGATCAGGTTAAAAATGTGCTCCATACCTCTGGCATAAATGTAAAATATGAGTGTTTTGAATTTTCTGACCTCTCGGTGGCAGATGAGCYGAGTGGGAACAGTTAAGCTAAAGAGGATCCACTTCAGGGTCTCCTCTTAAGAGCCTCCACCAGCACTTAAGTGCCAGTGCAGGGCACTAGTCTCCTGTCCTGGACACCTGCTGCTGCTGCTTGTGCCAGAGCCAAGCGCTGCCAAGTGTCATCTGTCTGAAGTGGCAGGTGCTTGTTCCTGCTTTTATGCAGCATAAGTGGATTTGCTAGGTGCTTTTATTAGGATATTCTCAGCGTTCTACTGGAAGGGCAGTCCCACTCCTGCCCTCTTCTGGCTGCTTCATAAGTTATCTCCGATGGCATGAATTTCCTTGTTCCCTCACCCACCTGCGCAAAAAATTGCATCTGTGCACAGCGTACTCCTGCACRTGGGCAGAGCCATGTGCCCTGTGGTGTCAGGCTGCTGTGCAGCTCTTTGGGTGCCACCCTGCTACCTGCCTAGGAAAGGGCTGTGGCTTCTTCTGTTAAACTCTAAAGTGTTTTGGTCCTTAGATCTGTGCTGTGGGCCAGCAGTGCCAATCGTTTTGAAGCTCTTCCTGCCTTTCTGTCCTGAGCGCTGTTCTGGACATCTTCSTGTTATTTCCCTAGCATGAATTATGCATATGCCCACACCCAGGATCCTGCCGAAGGGGCTGTCATCAGGAGGAAGGCTGTAAAGGGATGTATATTCTTTCACTTTTCTTTTTAAATGTGCAATTCTATGCATTTGGGGGAAAGGTTGAGCGGAATGATTCAGAGCTCTTTAAGGAAATGTGCTGAGAGGGGCTCCTTGGAGTCTTGTTAGTATTTCCTCATTTAGTTAAGGGGAGGCCCAGATAGTTCCCTGTCTCCTAGCAAGTCATTTGTCCTTCCCTTCATCTTTGTGTTTGCCCCCTGGCATATGTGGTTTGTTAAAGGCTAAATGCTTTGCAGGAGCCCCTTATTAAAACTAGCAACCTGTTGCTCATTGAATTAAGCCCTTGGGGCTGATAGGGGTGTGAGATTATTCACACGCTCTCTGCGGTGTCTGTACAGGGGAGCCAGCACGATAGCACTTAAATTTGCCAGGAAGGAGAACAGCAAAGAAATTACTCACACCACACTTTAGCAATAGTTCATAGTAGTCCCATTGAAATAATTTGTAATCCTGGCAGTCCTAAATTATGGTTGTTTCTGAACATACACTTCAATTATGGAGTTGACTTTGTTGTGTTTTTTTTTTTTTCCTGAAGAGAAAATGTCAACATCTAAAAACATTTTCAAAAGTAAACACTTCCATTTATATGCTGGGACTGCTACGTTATTTGGATAGTGGCAATGTCTGATAGTTACCTAAGGGCTGCTGAGGGCTTTTTTAATACTCCCTCGCTAAAAGGAAAGAAGCTGCTGGAGTTCTATTTCTAACCTGTCTCTAGTGTGCAATTTAATTACTATTGTGAAATGCATTCATCAAGAAGCATGAATTCTTCAGTCTGAAAAAGTTGGTAATGGGCTTAAATTGAGCAAAATGAACCTCAGGTGGGATAAAGAAACCTTCCTAAASGTGATTAAGGAGACTATAGAAATAGTCTCAGAAGGTGTGTTGACTGCTATATCACTTGAAAATATCTAAAATTAGATGGGTCCTTTTGAGCAGTAGTAAGAAGATGGAATTGGTCTATTCTTGTACCTGTCAGGCAATGTCTACCTAATATCTCTCTTGTGAGGTGGTGGTGGGGRGTGGATTCTCTGTGATTCTCCTCAGAAAAATTCAAACTTAGGATAGTTTGGATAGTTAGGATAGATAGAATAGGATTCATTGTACAAGTTGGAATTTCTTACTTAAGTACTACCAAATAAGAGTTTCTAGTCTGTGGGGGAAGCTTAAAATATTCATTTGAAATTAAGATAATACAAATATGCCTAGATAATTTTGTTCCTTTCTGAAATGTATTTTGTATATATATTTAGATAATATAATGTCTTACTGCTCCTTCAATATTCAGGGTTTCAGAAAAATTTGTTCGGATCTATATAAAGAATATGAAGACTGTTACTTTGGCACAGAGGTCTTCAGTCAAATTGATCTCTGCGCTATGCGTAAGAAGAAACAAGAATCTGGTTATTATCACTGTGAGTGTTCAATTTATGTGGGTTCTAGAGTTGCAAAAGAGAGTCAAGAGCAAGAAATCCAAGTGGAAGATACTGGAGAAACAGCCAATGAAGACTCTACAAATAACGCTACAGAGGCCAACAAGGGAACTAGTRCTGCAAGCTGTAACCTTGCCTCGTGTTTAGTAGCAGCTGCTTATAAACCACCTGAAAATATTGTTAAGGTTTCACTTGAAAGTAAAGAGAAAGAAATCAATGAGGTGAGTGGAGAGCCTGAAGCTAAGGAAGAAACCTCCCTTGCAGCTGGAAGGATCTGCCCAATGCTAGAGCCTGGTCTCTTGCCAGTAAGACCTGATGCGTTAAAAAGTATGGATGAGGAAAAAGAAAAAGCAAAGATAACAGATGGTAACTTGAAGAAAACTGAAGCAAGGGAATGTGCATCTGATCAGCCAGATATTGGAGAATGAAACTGTTTTAGCCAACTTGTTGGTGGCCACAGAGGGTAAAGTAGTAAACTGGTACAAGGCTGCGCTGGGTTGGGCTGAGAGGACATGGGGGAGAGGTGATGAATGTCATTTGGGTAGAGGGACAGGATGGGATGGAACAGTCTTTCCAAGGAATTGACAGAACTGAAAGAATAGAATCTGTGGGGAGTGGGGGAACATCACCAATATTGTGTCCAAATGGCTAAAAGCCTAAGTCTAGACAAGAAGCTGATACTGCAGGGGGGTGTGTGTGTACTGTCATGACAAAAGGGTTCTGCTTTGCAGCTTCTGGCTCTGAGGTGGAGGTTGTTTCAGGACACGTGGTGCCCCAKGCATTTTCCCTTGGTCACACTTTCTTCCTCTCCTGCTTCCTGCAGCTACTGCCTTGTCCCCCCACTTTGCCTTGGTCTTTTTCCCCCTACAACTCAGAAGAAGCACCTGTAGGCATCTCCCCCTTCCCTCACCTGCATCTCCTTCCTCATCATCAACTCTAATAAAAGGTTTGCAGCCATTCCTGGGACACAGGCTATCATTCATTTCATGACTGTAAGTGGTAGATGAGTTTAGCTCCTAACATGTTTTTTTTTACTGAAATACAGACCTTCCTTTGAACGGTAACTACTTAATGAGAAAATTACTTTGCCTGACTTATGCGAATAGCTCATTTTACACAAAAATGATACTGATTTTTTTTGCTTTAGCTAAAGTGCAAAGTTATGGCAGAAGAGGGGTAAGAATCTCTAGTGMACCATTTTTATAGAATTCCTTGAAGTGTGAATGAGGCACAGCAGCCACTTTCTAAACTGGAGCAATGTTGTCATCGTGGATCCATGCATGAATTGGTAAAGGAACAKGATAAAATGGAACTTTAACCATCTCTGTCAAGAAGAGATTATGTTTTCTTTAGCACTGCTCAGAATTAAGTTCTTTGCATATTGTCCAGTGAAATTGTCAAGGTCACTGCGATCTCACAAGCAAAGCCTACCTTACCTGCTGTATAGAAAATATTTCCTACATGATCTTRAGGCAGAAGGAAGCCAGTAGATGGCACTACTGGAAAAACAGCTGTTACTGTAACAAAAGAAAATGTGCTGCCTCAAGGTTTTCTGTAGTTGCATTAGGTTTGGGGATCAATAAAAGGAAGAATAAATGTGGAGGAAAGCAATTAAATACTTAGAAAGTGATATCCTTCCCTATTCTGCTCTAACTGCTCATTAAACAATGATAGCTGCTCTTTAAAAAGCTCCATTTTTCCTTGGGAAATGTGTGCATTTCCAAGTGTGTGATCAAGTGGATTTTTTTAAAGAAGTATTAAACATATGGCATTTAATTTCCACACACAAGTCTTCATGCAAKGTCTATGATACAATTTGTTATGTTAACACCAGGTGGTTTTAAACCTGTTCAGCTTATTGTTAGCCTTCTAAATKTATATTTGTGCCCCTTTCAAAGAGGGGAATAAAAGCAAAAAACCCACCAGACTGGGATTGCAGAAATGGAAGAGAAGGCCTTGCATTTAATGAACATATCTTGCCCTCTCTGCTCTTTTTGAGCTTCATGTCACATTCCCTGTGTTGCAGGACTTTGCAAAGCACTTCTTGTATCACTCCACCTAAGACTGTTCTCCAAAATCGTTTTCTTAAATGGTCCCCSAAACACATGCAAGAGCAGCTATTCAGTTTTGCTTATGTCTTCCAAAATGCCGTTGCCCAGTGCTTAAGGGGGAGAAAAAGCCTTATTGAACTTAAAGGTTGATTAGTGGAGGTATAGTACTCTTACTATTTTCTCTGTATTAGCACAATCCATTATTTTTTTCTAGAAATATTTGCCTTAAATATCAACTGAGGAAATAGTGTTTCTTAACAGTCTAACTCAGAAGAGCAGTAGTCATTAATCTTAGGAATTTAAGTGGATTCAATGGCCTAGGACCAACTACACTTTACAGCAAGCTGTATCTGTTCTTATTGAAAATGTTAATTATCTTTTTATAGACAGGTGGCACTGGAGTGTAGCAAATGTGTGGTGAACCTGTGCTCATAAACATTTTGGGGTTTAATCTATACAGGGCTCAATATAGGTTTAATTCTGTTTTAGGACTATTGTGATGATTGTAGGATAATTAATTACACTTTTCTTAGTATAATACTCTTGGTACATTAAGCTAAAACAAATAGCTGTATTACTACCATTAATCTTAACAATTTGCAACTGCTTAAAGTGTCTACCAAATGTAATATTTGGTGCTTTGTTGTCTAGTGACAAGCTGGAACAAGTTTCTACAAGGCTGTTGATGTTGCCCAGAATTCTCCAATATGTGAAAATACACTGAATTTCACTGGCACTTTGCATGAACTGTGAGATCAATGTTATTGTTCATAAAAGCACATATTGTTATATATGCTTTTTCATTCAAAKTAACTGAAATATGCTGAATTACACACTTAAGATGCTGGTAAGGCAGGTGGGAGACAGACCCTAAAAATGAAAATATGTACCACTAAAGCAAATGAATTGTCTTTATGGCAACTGTGAGAAAACTGTAATGAAAGACTCAAAAGTGAGTTGGGCTAATTTTTTCATCCTTGGGTTTCCTTTCCTTTATGTGTATTTCCTTTTAAGACCAGTAACTTGTCTTTCCACCCCCCCCAACTTTCTATGAGAAACTTAACTGTCATTTGCTTTATGCAGAAGATGAATTCAACCTCCTAACTTATTCTGAGGTTACATTAATGTAACTAAGGTTACCTGAATGTAACGATAGCTAAATCTGGGGCAGGAGGGAACTTGCACTAAGTATGATCTGCTGGCTGTGTCTTTTCTTTTGGTAAAACTAAATGCTGGAGTGCACAGCAATAATTATTTTCAAAGTAAACCAGGAGGAGTTTTCAACAACAACCACTTTCTTTTCTTTGGGATGATTTTAGTTCTGTTTGTTAAACTGTTCTAATAAACACAATGCAAAAGCCAAAGGAAGGAGTCTTGGGTAGATCTATTATTCTCACTACGTGGTTACTGGGGAGCAAATGGGACTCTGCYATCTGGATGTAGAATCCTTAAGATGAAAAGGGACCTTTAGAGATCTAGTCCAACCCCCCTGCTCATGCAGGGTTACCTAGAGCAYGGGGCACAGGGCAGTGGCCAAGTGGGTTTTGAAAATCTCTACAGATGGAGATTCCACAGCCTCCCTGGGCAGCCTGTTCCAGGGCTCTGGCACCCTCACTGTCAAGAAGTGTTTCCTTAAGTTCCTGTGGAACTTTTGGTGCCTCAGTTTGTGGACATTTCCTCTAGTCCTATTCGTGGCCACCACTGAAAAGAGGCCGGCCCCCTCCTCCTCACTGCCTCCCTTGAGGTATTTATAGACACTGATCAGGTTCCCCCCTCAGCCTTCTCTTCTCCAGGCTGAAGAGGCCCAGCTCCCTCAGCCTTTGCTCATAGGGCAGATGTYCCAGGCCCCTGATCATCCTSRTAGCCCTGCGCTGACCTCTCTCCAGCAGCTCCACATCCCTCTTGTACTGGGGAGCCCAGAACTGGACGCAGTACTCCAGATGTGGCCTCACCAGGGCTGAGTAGAGGGGGGACGATCACCTCCCWTGACCTGCTGGAGASGCTCTTCTTAATGCACCCCAGGATCCCGTTGGCCTTCTTGCCTACCACCGCACCCTGCTGCCTCATGGTCAACTTGTCCACCACAACGCCCAGGTCCTTCTCTGCAGAGGTGCTCTGCAGAAGGTCAGTCACCAGCCTGTACTGAAAACAGTTGGGGCAGTTCTTGTTCATGGACTGAACACTGCTTTTGGTTAATGTAAGTGAAAAAAAATTCCAGTTGGCTAGCATGCAGTACTTTTCTTATTCCTTCTATTGTCCCCTGTTTTTCCCTCTCACAAGCCAAATTTCTAACTTTCTTTGAATTTTTTTTTTTTTTTTTTGAGAGGAAGCAACTTTTGCACAGTCCCATTCTTGTGCTGCCATCCTGCACCTCAGTTAAAGGGATAGTCCCTTATTCAGGAGTGTGTCTTGCTTATGGTGCTCTAGAGCAGTGGTGAAGTGGTTGAGATCAAAAGAGTCTTTAAGTGTTATGAAATTGGCAAGTTCTTCCTCACTGTGACTTTGGAAGTTATACACCATTGACRGTGTATTTAACAAATGCCCCACATTTCACAAACACTTCTTTAGGAATATTTAAACTTAATTTGGTTTATATACTCTCTCTGATGAGGAGAGCAACTGTTCAGAAGCATAGCCAGTAAGGCGCAATTCTGTGTTTATTGATGGGAAATCCAGGTTAACTTGCTGCATTGTACAGTTTCCCTCCCCAAACCATGCTCAAMTTGGCAGAAATCCAGGCACTGTGGAGGATTAACACCTCTGAAGCTGGCTTCCTGCAACGGCTTTCAGTCACTGACCTGTGCAACAGAAATATGGAGCAAGCCCTTCTAAAGAGACTCTCAAAAGCCTATGTATTTATATCACAGCATGCTTTTCACACTCTCAGGAGAGAACTGAAGTGCTTTCTGAAAACAAGATATTTTAAGTATTGCGTATCCTCCCAGAGCTTTTCCCTTTCCTATGCTGAAGATTGGCTTTAATCTTCTAATAATTAGAAAACTGCTTATTATCTTCTAGAGCCAGCTGAAAATATATTGACAGCTGCTTTCAGAAGTTTTATTTAAAATGATTCTTTCCATATTTCAAGGCATGAGAATTAAGGCTTTCTCATCTTAAAGTCCAGTATGAGTATCAGTTGTTCCAATAAATAAAAAGGCTGGGGAGCTGTTGCCTGTCTGATTGCTAACTGTTCAGCCTATTTRTTTTTCTTTTTTTATGTTTAAAGAAAAAGTCACATGAATTTGATAGTAATTTTTAGACTTTGAAAAATCAGGAATTTGTTATATGTTGGTCGGTACCTGATTCATCCTTACTGTACTGTTAAATAAAATACTGTATAAAAGAAGGAAGTGTGTTAATACTCAGTATAATCACATTTTCTTAATATATACAGCATGAAAAATTCTTTTGAAACAATTTGATACATCTCTTCTCCACTCACAGAAGTTGGTCAACTGTTCTTATTGTAAGCAAATGGGAATTGAAAATTTGTTGAGAGTTCTCTCCAGATGAAGCTTTGGATGCTGGTTGGTTCATAAGGTTTTTTTTTTTTTTTTTTTTAAGCTGAATTGAGTTGAGATTAAATTCTGTTCAGATTCCAGTTATAGCAGTGGCATTGATGGTACTGAGGTCTTAGCTATTGAGACTAAATTTAAAACAAACACAAACTCTTCCTTCCCTGCCCACGTTCACTAACTTTCTGCATCGTAAAGGCTGTCTTTGATAATTGGCCAGACTTTGTTTTGAGGAAATAAATTCATCTGGCTAATGCAGAGCACATGAAAAAGCAGATCTCTTAATACTTGTCTCTCTTTACAGTGCCTTTTTCTGGGCATGCCACTTCGCAGAATTAGTGGGTTTTATCCATACTTTTTTTCTATGGTCTTAATTCTTGAGATTCTCGTGCTGCCTCCTTGCATTTGCTGGCCTGGGGTGATGCAGCCTGAGCAGAGCCCCCAGCCAGGAGGGGGAACGAGGCGCTTCCAGGAGGCTCTGCAATGCTGCCAGGAGYGCTGCTTTCCTCTGTTGGGTCTAACTTTGTGGAAGATGCCGTTTTTTTTTTCTTGACCAGCTTTTTGCYCATGACTGACTTGACTGAATACTCTCCAGATGGGCTCCAAGGTTATAGCTAAAGCAACTCTATAGTTGCTTCAGTTGTAGTTCTATATGTAAAAGGGTCAGAAATGGGTTGAATATCATTTGAAGAAAGAAAACAACCAAAAATAATTTTGACCAGAACATCTGAAGGCCTTCCTGTACTTCTGAGAGCATATACAATGTGGAAGGGATTCTGAAATATATACATAGCAGGACCGATAACCTTGTCAGTCAAAACCTAATCAAATCTTAAATCTTGAGCTTGGCTTAAAAAGTGATAGCTTTAAGATATGCTTGAGGGAATTTTTATTTCCCTTCCAGCC